TAAATATGTACATTTTGATGGTGGTGACAATAAATGTTTGAATTTCGATTTTATAGGCCACATCCCAAGCCAATAGAAATGTGCAGCGACAACCACGATCCAAAAGCCAAGCAAACCACTAAACGAGCTCTCGTCGTACCATCCGATAGACTATTGTCCACATTTTCTGAAGCATTTAAGAAAATACATTTAAAGAGAATGTTGCCAAATGTGGACGAACTTGCCTAAATATTCCCAAGTATCAGTTTGGATTTAGAAGAGTGTTATTATCACCTCTGTTGCCCATAAATGCCGGTCTCCGCCAGGAAGTGTCTTAGGCCTGGAAAACAAAGTTCTCCCTCTTTTAAGCCATCCTAAAACCTGTGAGACGTATGCTAATCAATTGTAGGGTACAGCTCGAACATTCCTTGTGCATACACAGAGCCTAAAAATTCCTTTCGTGAATGAAGAAATAAATAAAGTTAGTACAAAATATGCATAGGTACTACATACATACATATGTATGTACATACATATATGGAGATATGTATGTGGCTGAGACTTCTCAGCCACGAAAAAACCTAGCCTAAATCTAACGGATATAAGTCTGACAGTAAGAAAACTTAAAGGAGTTCACGTTTTACTCTTTCCTTCATTCCTAACAAATAATTCAAATATACAGATGTACATACGTAAGGAGTTGGTTTCATTGGAAATCTTCTGTGTCAATTAATCATAAAGAACTGAATTTTCTTATTGTCCCAAGACAGATGGCAAATAAAGGATACGTAATATACAAGATGTAACAGTTCCGATTAAAAAGTTTGAATATTTCTCCCTGATTTTATTTCGACGTTTGGAATGACTTCTTGCCACTCTCACCTGTTCGGCCGACATATGTATGTTTATTCGTAGCTAATCCTATTCCAAATCAAAACTACATACGTGTTTCTGGATTTCGAAATATTTCAGTGGACGGGGCCCTTCGAGCTCTTAGGTTGGGACTCAGCTAGATGCATGTGTGTAAATTAAAGTACCTACATTTGCACACATATGTACATCTGTATGTATGTAAATGCACTCGTGTTCCTAGACCCCCCAAAAGGAAGCCCAGCCACCGCACCCTCGCATCAATACACACACTCCCAATCAAATTTTGTCGCGAAATTAAAACGGAAAACTGCCTCCAGGCGACATATGTTTGTGTGTGTGTGTGTGTGTGTGTATGGATGTATGGATGTATACTCAAAGCAACCAGTCAAGTCAGCATGCTGGGAAATGGTAAATGGAAAATGGCAAACACCCAACCCCAGCCCAAGCCGAGCCCCCCGTGCAAACCTCAGACGCTGACACATGCACAGCATCCATACATAAATACATATACATATACATATATATATACATATATGTATGCATGTGTGAACGTGTGCCCGCCTCATGACCGCGAAATGAGCAAACTTCTATATGTTCATACACATGGTACATACATACATACATACATACGTACGTACAACTTTTAATGCGCGTACATTTGAATGTGTGTGTGTGGGGGTGGGTGGGGGCATGTGGATGGGGATGTATGTATGTATGCAGATATCTGCAAAAGTATGTGCACTCGCGTACATAGATATGCATATTTACATGTCCACATACTATACACACATAATTCAAAGGAGTTAAAAATACTGGATTGTTAGTCAAAAAAAAAGGAAGACGGGACAGGACAGGACAGGACGACCGACCCTCTGTCTGCCCCTGCCTTTGCATTTGACGACGCCGTCGTCATTGCTATATCGTCGCCTGGGTATGTGGATGCTGTCTCCCCTTCGTGCCTTGCCCACCCACTCACTCATACAGCCAAATATGTACATATGTATCAGTAGTACATATGACCACATACATCCACATACATACATGCATACATCCATCGCACTGGCAAGTGAGTAAAAGCGAGAGTAAGCCCGCAAAGGAGTGAGTGAGAGAGGGAGCGTGGTTGGCAAAAAAAAAGGGGTTTCTCCCTGCCGTTTCCCATCCCATCCCATCCCTTCTCACTTCCTCCTACTCCATCCAGCATGGCATGCGTGTTTTATTCATTTCTAGTTAAAAAGCGTAAACGCAGACGCGAATTTTACGTTTCTGCCTTATTCGCTGGTTCCTTTTTTCAGTTGTGACTTTTTCCAGCGAAATGAGAATATATGCATTCGATTACGACGCCGACTGCAGGATCATGTGCGTATGTGTGTGTATGTGTTGGTGTGTTGGTGTGTGTGTCAATACGAATGCGAATGCAAAGGGTGGAGCATCGTGTCACATCGCATCGCATCGCATCTTGGGGCACTTGGGGTACGAACCTGCTCCAGCTCCATTCTTTCCTGATTTGCCAATAAATAAAATGGCGCTTGATGACGAATTCGGCTTCATTTAAATGAAACTAAAGCCCCGTACATACTCACTTATGTAAATATGTATGTATGCATGTATTTGCACATATTTATGTGGGTACACAGATCGTAACTATGAACGGTCACCTTAGTGGAGTGACCGCGTAGTTAATATCCTGAATGCAGACCAAGAAAATATTCATAAGACGACCAGAGTAAGAATAATCTCAAACTATGTACATACATACATACATACGTAAACATATGGAAATCAGGCAGTATAGTCCACTTTTCTTGGCGCACTAAGTATATTATGGCACGAAAAATCTCGCATGAAAACCTTACGGAGAAGTACAAAACAAATAAAATGCACCGAATCAGAGGGGAGGATAATGGAAATTTGATTAGCGAAGAACATTGGACATCAATTCCATTGATGTCCTAGAGATAAGCATGGATATAGACTTGTACCGTCTGATGATATTCCATCTCAAAGTACCCGTTACTCCAAATAATTTCTTCCTAATCACTCCCATTTGCCTGACCCCTTTCGGAGGAGCCCTTTGCTATTACAATATTGGGCGGACCTTGGTGAATCACAGAAGAAAACAACTCCCCCCATTCTGTAAGCAGATACATACATACGTACATATGTATTCATGTATGTATGTATTTATGTACAATGTACATACTTTGTACATGGATGTCCTTTTTAATTATTCCCCAAATGATTATCTTTGATAATTCATTTATTTCTCTCACTGCCACTGGTTGCTTTTTCCAATAGGACCTCCAACTGGTCTCGCCAACCTTTTAGTTAGTTACATTCAACTCTGGTAGAACACAATTCTACGATAAAAAAATAGCCAAAAAGAAAAACAACAAAAAATGGCAACCGTTTTGGCGAAAAATCACCAATTGTGGCAACGGAGATTGTAACAACAGGAGCTACATGAGAATTCTGGTTAATAATTAATAATATACCTTGGCATATACATAGGTACATATGTATGTATGTATATGTATTCTTGATCGGAAGGACGAGCTGATTCAGCCGATATAGCCATGTCCGTTTGTCCATCTGTCTGTTTCTTCGCAAACTTTGAACTCTGGCAGAATCTCATCAAGGGATTATTGTTCGGCCCAAATGTCTGTCTGAGTGATATTTGGACAAGTTATCGATAGAATTTGATGAAAGTAGTTGAGACGTCTAAGGTAGATTTAATCTGTGTCCAAATGTACTATACATATGTATGTACATATGCCCGAATAAATCCAATGTAATGTAATGTGAATGAATCCTGGCACAATTCCTTAGACAAGGTACTTTCGCTTTACAGCTATGTATATAGAGTGCTTTTCCATCCCGATTTGCAAAGGAGCTTAATTTTACATCACAGTTGCATACATTTTCTACATAGTATGCAGCTCTTCTTTTAGGCCGTCGATCTGGAATCGATTCACTTTACATCCCTTCTTTGTTTTAAAATTGTAAAATATAATGTAACAAAATTAGCCAATCTTATGGAAAATTGATTAATAAATCGTATAGAATGATCTGCCTTAAGCTTAAAATAACAGAAAACGATAGATATGATCGTCTCTGCATGAGGTTGCATACATATTACATATGTACATATGTTTATATGTATGTAGGTATGTATGTTGTGGATTTCTGGAAGTTTGGATTTATTGTTTAATGCTTGTTCCTGTGTGTGCAGTTTACTACGTGACCTTCAAAGAGATATCTTAAGGAAAACTAATCAGCAACTGCTACAGTCATGCACGGGAAATGGTCGCTTCTCTGGACTCTTCTCCGCTTTAATCGAACGAACGGAACGAAACAAAGATCCAGCAATAGTTCAACAATGCAGTAAGGAATTTATAATTGCTTGAAAATGGTTTTTAAAACCAATGATTGGTGAATATTGCACAAGCGAAGAATCCCCTCCGAACATTCTGCTTTCAGCTCTTTGAAACCTCTAACTTCCGACGGCAGTTATGTATATGTACATATGTATATGTATATGTATATGTATATGTATATGTATGTATGTATGTATGAATAAGAAAATAATGAACGATGATTGCCCAAGCTACTCCCACACGAGAGCCGCACGCACACACATGAAATTTGCGAGTGGTAGAGGGAGAGGAAGAGCGAGAGCGAGAGCGAGAGAGATCCACATTGAGAGCAATAAAGCACATTGGTACATTGTTTTATTTTATCAGTTCTTCGCTGTCTCGCTCTCTCGTAATTACCACTCTGCGTGGCAATAATTACCCCATTACGATTACCTTGAGACTCTCTTCAGTACGCATGCTTCGATTCCGACTCAATTCCACCCAAAGAGTACACGAGAGCAAGAGCGGACGGACGTCACCGCGCAAGGTCCAGCAAATAAACACGTTAAGGTACGTACTGCCATACCGCTCCTCGGTGGCCAAAGTTGTTTTACACACCAACTACCACCTTTTGCCATCGAAACAAGAGCCCGATCTTTGAGTTTGTTTGCCGTACCGTACCCTATGGAAAGTTGTACACTCCGGTTACTGCCAAAGAGCGACGTCGAGTGAGAGCAGCGTAGTTCAGCGCTCTTCTGTCTCTCTGCATCTGTATCCGTATCTCTGTCGACTGTCGAAAAAAAACCGTTGAACGAGTCGGATGCGGGTCGGATGGTGAGTTCTGTGTTGCCGTGCCTCTGTGGACTGGAACTGTTACTGTGATTTGTCTGGTAGTAGTTGCGCTGCATGTGAATGCGCCAGACAGCTCTAAGCCTATTCCGCGTATTCCGAAGCAGACAATTGCAAATAACGATTGAAAATCTGTGCGAAACCATTTGAAAACAAGTGCAGTGCACGTCAGAGCCAGGACAACAGGACAGGAGTGAAACCGCATAAAATGCCGCGGAGTCGAATTTGTCGATCACAAAACAAAGCAAGAAAATTTAAATGGAAAATAAAAATACTATTGCCTGTGCAGTAAATGTGTAGATACTGTTATTCCACTTCCATATCGATGCAGTATAAATGCGACGAGAGTGTTGTGTGTGTGCGTGTGCGTGTGTGAGTGGAGTGGAGTGTGAGTGTGTGTGTGTTTGGAACGAAGGTGCCGCCGTGACCGTGCATCTCTCTACCTGAATATACCCTATTCCCTTCGACACACATCGGATCTGTGCTGTATTTAATAGTGAACAAAAACAACAAAAACAACAAAAATATTTCTAAGGATAAAAAGTGTTCAGATTGTGTCTCTCACGTTAACAAAAAATACATACATACATACATATGTACATACGTATACGCAAAGACCCGGAATAAATAGCACCTTCAAGTGCATCCCATCCATCTGGCTTTGATCCGCTTCGATCCAGGACTCCAGTGACTGCCGGTTCTCGGGAAGGGTGGCTACGCTCCGTAGGCCCTTCTGCACCTAACCCTAACTTAACCCGATCCTTAGCAGCGGAAAGAATTTCACCCATTCCATCCCTCACCGCTAGCCGAATGCAACCCATAGCTTGTGTGTTTGTGTGTGTGTAAGTGTCGGGACTATTGCAATAACCGGAGTTGGAGTTGGAGTTTTGGGTGCTGAAGGGCATACCCTCCACATCCACTCAATCCCCATTAGATTATTGTCGATCAAAGTCTAGGGTCCGTCGCTAAATCAAATCCATGAATGGTCTATTCACATCTGAATATTTGTGTTGCATACACACACGTAAAAAAGGTACGTGTACCCTGGCAACAACAATAGTTAATTTCAATCAAACTAAGAAGGGTGAAGGGTGGCAAGGAGTACATAGTTTCTTTTATTTTAATTGCATTCCGAACCGTACCGCATAGCGAGCAAAAAAAGGGAGCACACACACCCACTGGCAGCAACAAGAAAAGGGTGCGAGATGGAATAATGAGCACGTGGTGCGGTGAGAGAAGTGTATGCAAAAGGACTCTATCTTTCTCACTCACTCACTCACTCTCACTCTCTCTCTCTCTCTCTCTCTCGTTGTGCCTGTTTAGGGGTGAGAGCATTGAATGTCGAAAAGTGCGGGACTTAGAGTAACTGTGTGCGTGTGTGTGTGCGCGCGAATGCATGCATAAAAAAGAGACAACTGTCTCTCGTTATAAGAAGCCAAATAGGAGTAACAGTGTTGACATTAAAAATGCAAAAAACGGAAGACGAAAAAAACGTTGGCAAATTAGATCGCCCTCTCGCTCACTCGAGCGCTTATTCTCGTTCTGGTATAAGCTCAGACACACACACACACACAGATTGCATTTGAAAATGAGCACGCACACCCGCTATGTACTGAATACATACATATGTACATATGTATGTACATATGTGCATATGTATATACGAGTATTTATGAACCTCGTAAATATTCAGTTCTATCGCGTATGAATTAAAAGTGCATTCTCCTTCTCAACCATTGAGTGAATCTTCACATTCGAACGCTTCCTGTTGCCACGCCAAGCGCCCCCATGTTGGTCGATTGGCAACAGCAGGTCGCTCACCTGCCGCCTGTTACCGCTCACCTGTCACTGGTCACGGCAATTACACCCTCAATCACATGTATTTCGGATCCTGCTTCGGGTTGTCGCTCTGTGGCGATCTCTCCCCTAATGTCCTGCTTCAATATCCTGCCTCTTGAATTCCCTGCCTCCATCCATCCCTCCCTCCTGAATTCGCACAGGAGATCGATGCCAACCTGCTGTTGTTCCGCACAAACATACAGACATACAGACATACTGTATATTCATTTGTGTTATTGTTTCGAACGAACAAGGAGGCATACATACATACGTATGTATGTATGTATGTATGTATAGATTTGTTAACTAAACCATCCCCAGGTGCTGCAGGCCAATCTACAAACTCGTCCACGCCTACATACGCTCGATTCAGAAGTTCCTATAATATTAAGAATAACATAGAATAGTACAAAACTAGTACGACTACGTAAAAGCCACTAACTGTCGATGCAACCAATGCCACAACCACAACACACCCCCCAAGTAAAATCCAATTCGAAATTCACACGAGAAACAACAAAATTAAAAACACATCGAATCGAGTCGGCGATGCTGCTGCGCAATGCCTTTCTGACGCCAAGCTGCTGGAGGGAAGACTAAGAGAATCAGAACAGCTGACAACAACCAACCCGTTCGCTAGCGAGGACAGCAGGTGAGTGAGTGTGACTGAGTGTGAGTGAGTGTGAGTGCGTTCTCTCGGATGTTGTGTTTGCACCAATTAGCTCCTCGCCAATTAAAAGCACTTTGATGGCTGACGACCTTCGACCCCACGTAATTAACAGCAGCATAACTCTAATTAGCCAATGACAATTCAGCGCTGTTCGTGTCGAAGCAAAACGAAGCGAGCCGAACCGAACCGATCCGATCCGAACTTGGCCGAGTAATTAAGCAAAAGCAAAAGCAAAAACAATGACTAAAACGAGCTTTAGTTCCGCGCTCTTTCTCTTCTCTTTCATATTCTCATTCCCAATCTCAGATGCTGCTTGTCAGAGCAGCAGAAACAGAAGAGTAAAGCAACAGTGCGCGACAACAACGCGCGACATGATTGGTCGGTCCTCAGCTTCTCCTCCTCCACCTCTACACCTGCTATCCACATTCGCATCCCATCCATTGGACTCCCTTCTGTGCCGTCCCCTCTGTCCCATGTGTTCTTTTCGCCAAAATAAACGGCTGTCACTTCTTATTCTGCTTTGTGCCGTTGCTGGGTGTGTGGTGTGAGTGCGAGTGCGAGTGTGATGAGTAGAGTTAATTGCTGCCTTTCATACTCCCACCTTTCCCACCCAGTACACCACACCCCATTCGTTGGCGTTGCTATTACTGGCTGGGGGTCGTCTCGGAATACGTGATTCGTTATCGTCGCCAGCCCACCACCCCACACCACAGGCAAAAGGGAGGAATCGCCGCTTCGCTCGGAATAATGTTAATTACAAATCCAACCAATTAAGCCCACATACACACCACAGACAGTTTCACACACGTACGTACGTACATAAGTATGTATCGCACACCCTCTGGGACTTCCCGTCTCTCTCGTTCTCTCAGTCAAGCAGAGGCTCTGTCTCGCTTCACACACATAAAAATATGTATTATCTATAGTACATGTGCCTCTGTGTGGTTGTGTGTAGTAGTAGTAGAACCAATTAAATGAGAGTTTTCTTATGTGACTCTGCTCGAGGCGGTACATAGTAAATACACATGTATACATTGCATATTCCTGTATTAAACATACATATGTATGTATGTATGGATATAGATTTGTGTGTTTCATCGCCCTAAGACGTCCTTCATTATTCATTTTGCCGATAAATGCACATAGCTATGTGCATGTATGCACATGCAGATGGGTGGCTCTGTCTCGCTTCACACACATAAAGATATGTATTATCTATATATTATAGATTTGGCTTCTACTAATTGTCGCTATTTTTTGTGGCATTTATGTACATAGCAATGGTATGTGTATGCATGCATGTACATATGTACATATGGACATAACTACATACATACATATATACCAATGTACATGTGTATGAATGCTTATTATATGCACGGAAAATCATCCTCAACCATCCCTCAGCCAGTCCTCTGTTACGCCACCCCCACCCCCAACACCACCCCACAACTTCTTCTTGTGGGCTCCTGCCCAGACCAGACCAGACCCCAAGCCCAGAAGCAAGGAAGGCAAATAGCAACGGAAAAGGCGCAAAAATCGATAACGCCGAGCAACGAAATTAAAATAAAAAACGACTCTGAAATATACAATAAACAAGAAACGAAATTTCTGCTCCGTATGTACATACTTATGTGTATGTTGTGTGTGTGTGTGTTTGTGTGTGTGTGTAAAATGGGGGTGACTGAGGTGGCTGCTGTACAGTGTACATGCAAATGAATTCTGTTTCCTGCGGCATCTGGGTTCGTCTTTGCAAGACTTCGTCTCAGATTTTTAGAATGGTAAACTGTGGGTCGGAGCAGCCCCCACCCCTGACTTTGGGTGGAGTGAGTGTCTGATTGTGGGTGGGGGAGGATGAGGCAGACATCACTAGGACTATCCCGATCTTCAATTGATGTACATTCCGTCTGTTCATTTGTACATTCATACATATGTACATACATGTTGTTGGGTGGGTGTGAGTTTTATGTTAATGGGCAATTAATTAGCTTTTCTTCATATCTAAGCACAATTTTTGGTGAGGAAATATCTACATATGTACGTCCATATACATATGTATACATAAATATATACATATGTATGTACAGATATCTTCATGACATGTCCATGTCGATGTCGATGTCGTCCATACCTTTAGAATGTGATTATTAACAATTCAAATCATCATGTCTCTAGCTGCATACATATGCATATACATACACTATAAACATACATACATACATATGTACATGCATACATATATGTACATATGTACATCATCACCTTTTGCACACAGCTACAAGGATTGCAGACCGGCAGGCAATGAATAAAAAAAAAAAGGAAAAAAATACATTATGTACATACAAAGTAGAAAACGAAGGTGAGGGTGGTTTTGTTCCGAAATGAGACAAAAACGTGTGGGAACGAGGGAAAAAATCTCCAAGTAGCAAAGTATGAGGGAAATATTGCAACAAAGAGAACAAGAAATGTCCTGCGAGACGTCGACAGACCAGACGCGATGTTCGAGTAATTGTGTACTCATCCTCCTCGTCGCTCCTCAAGCCGAGCAGTGTGGGGCTGTCGCTGTCTTATTCTTATATGCCCCTCCACTCAGTCTGTCCCGCTCCCACAGCCACAGTCACAGTCACAGCCGAGGCACGAAACACCAACACCCACAAGTCTGAGCGTTTTGCTTTACTGCGTTGCCATAAGAGACGAAGAGTAGGACGGAAACATGCGCGAAAGGGACACGGCAGGAAAGCTAAGCGCAGTCAGCGCATTATGTATAAATTATTTATTTACATTATATTTGTAGTCGCACTCTCTACGGTCGTCGTTGGGTTGTTGCTGGTGCTGTTGCTGTTGGTGTTGGTGTTGGTGTGATGTGCGGAAGAGGGGAGCTCCACGAGCGTGGAGACGAAAATGAACGAACCATGTTGGGGTCTGGTCTCGATGTTGTCTCCACATTGTCTCCTTTCATCTCCCAGCTCTCAGCCGATGATAGACGACTGTGCTTGTGTGTGTGAATTGTAAACTGTAATTGTATGCACACTCGCACACACACCCACGCACACACAAAGAAAGGGGTACGAAAACAATACAAGATGCGGCAAAAAGAGAATTAACAGCGAATATCTGCTGGAACTCGAGCACGGTACGAACCGAACACAAAGCCGAACCGAACCCTTCCGTTTGGTCCAACCCCTCCCGCCCCTTCTCCAGACGACAACGTAACCTGTTTTCCTTTTGTTGTTGCTGGTACGAGAATTGCGAATTTCTCAGTCGGCAAAACTGATTTTACAGAGAGAGTAGAGTCAAGTAACCTTTGCTCTCTTCCGCTCTGCTCTCTTACTTGCTGCCAGTCAGTCTGCTCTCTTGAATTTGTTTTTTGCGTTCGCTAATACTAATTAAATTAAAAGTCTCTCTTCTCTGGCTGCTCTGCTGCGCTCTTTCATCTCACTTTCCGTCGCCAGCTCACATCTCAGCCTCTTTCTCTGTTTCACTGAACGAACCGCTCAGTCTCTCCATCGCGTCACACTCTCTGTCTCGCTCTGTCCATTGTGTGAGTGCAGTCGAACTCACTTATATACATACATACATATAAGGGGAAGCACAACCAGTTAAATGGGCGTGAACGAGATGGAGGAGTATGGGTGGCAATGATTTAGTCGTGCTCATTGTTTTTTGTTGAATGCTGATGATGCTGCCGCAGTGGCTTTCTGTTTTGCTCTCTCACTCGCACTCGCACTCGCACTAGCTCGCTTATGACGTTCATTACTACTGCTCGGTAACCCTAAACCCTAAACGCCAAACCCCAAACCCCAAACCCCGAACCCCGCCGAACCCCGAACCTTAAACCCCATCCTAATCCTGAGCATTGTGCGCGTCAATGAGTGGAGTGCTGATGCTGTGCTCCGCTCTGCGCTGGATAGGCGTGGCGTAAAAATGGACTCCTCGGCTTCGACTCTCAGATGGTCTGGGTCTGGCTGACGATAAAAAATCTGCATATCGTACATAAATCCTTACCTATACATGTACATATATGTATATACATACATGCATACATACACACGTATGTCCATAATTGCCAGCCATTAAATGTACTCTAAGCGAATATTACCGTGAATGCATATGTACATATGTTGAGCTTTCGTTCTTCATATGCAACATACATGCTTACATGCTCACATGCTTACATTTGTATGCACATGGTTTCGCTCCTCTCTCTCACTCTCTCTCTCTCTCTCTTTCGCTCTCACTGTATATGTATATATGTATATATATAAATACATTTGTACAGAATGTAGTTAGCCAGCCATCCCCAACCCATCATCTCTCACCCACTCGAACTTGTGCTCAGAAAGTGGCACATAAATCGCACTCGGAGTCATAGCCAGAGCGTAGGTGTGTGTGTGTGTGTTTCTGTGTATGTGTGTGTTAGCGAGTGAGGAGCTCTTTGCGATGTGCGTTGAATATTTCGCACACCAGCACGGTCTTTGGGGTCTCAGAGCATCTCATCTTCTGATTGGTCGTTTAAATGAGCTCTGTGCGCCCGCGCCCGCCCCCCTTTCAGCGCTTCACTCCCCTCAGTGACTGCTTTAATTAACGTTCCTATATCATAAGCACTCCGAGTATTTTAATTGGTGCAGAGCTCAGGCCTGGGACAGCTTTCAATTCGCTCGAAGATGCCTATGTGTGTCCGTGGATACGCAAGTAATCCACAGGATAGACCCGCACTGCAGCATCGCATCGGTGAAATAGGATCAAAGATAGGCCACGTCCCGTCTGCCCATTCTTCGTCAAAGCCAAAAGTTTTTGACTGCCTTCGACTGCACTCCCTTCCCTCCGGATAGATCCACCTTCACATCACTACATAAATAGCTACTTTCATACCTAATGCATACTGCTTTATGAGCGTGGCGTGTCAAAAAGCTTCTGAGATGATCTGACATCAACATTTCAGCCCAATTGGTAAATATCCGTTAGGCTTGAAGTTTGAATGC